GACTACTTTGAAGATGTGGAGCAGACTGAGGATGATGGGGTGTTAGCTACCTTTGCTCATTTCCCAGCTGATCCAGTCAAGGATTTCTTGTTCCGCTGTCGAACTCAGCCGCCATTTTGGTTTGAGAACGAAGTGACCTCAGTCAGCGATTGGTACGACTGCAAACGGCTGAGAGTTACCACCCCGTTGTAAGGCGAATCGCTGTAAATCGCTTGCAAGGGCGTAACGCTCTGCAACACGCCCCTTGGTATCTTCATTGAAACGTTATGAGTCGCCAGTGTAGTTTCTAAGTGTTTCTAGGGGCGGTCGGGTAGCCTAGTGGTTAAAGCGTTCGCTCGTCACGCCGAAGACCCGGGTTCGATTCCCGACATGGGTACAATGTGTGAAGCCCATTTCTGGTGTCCCCCGCCGTGATATTGCTGGAATATTGCTAAAAGCGGCGTAAAACCATACTCACTCACTCACTCACTCTAAGTGTTTCTTCACATGGGCACACAGGTGACCCAGTTGTCTAAGGTCCCACAATTCATTGGCCAGAAACCTATGATCGTAGGTTTAAATCCCAGTTCACCCCGATTATGTTTCTAGGTTTGTCGGCATCATACCCGTGCTCGTGGGTTTCAAAGCGGTGATCATCTAAGAACTGCATCACTTTGGGCTTTTCTCCCACCTTAAGCTGACATGCCGTGATATGATTGGTTGGTTGGTTGGTTTTTTAACGCTGCACTCAGCAATGCCGTGATATGACCAGAATATTGTTGAAAGTAGCATTAAACCCACCTCACTCTTCACATACCAGAGACACAAGTCTATAATCAGAGTGAGTGAGTGAGTATGGTTTTATGCCACTTTTAGCAATATTCCAGCAATATCATAGCAGAGGACACCAGAAATGGGCTTTACACATTGTACCCATGCCGGGAATCGAACCCGGGTCTTAGGCATGACAGGCGAACACTTTAACCACCAGGCTATAATCATAATACTTGATGTTTTAATTGATAATGGTTCAACAACCATGTCCTCCGTTGACCCCAAGTCACCTGTATGCCTGGAGGCACATGGCCAGTGTTGGAGCTATGGGCTTTATAGGTGAGGTGAGGTGAAATGGGGTTTAATGTCGTGTCCAAGATTATTGCACTTATATAGCGACGTGCATGCATGTGTGTGCGTGTGTGGCTGATTGTACTAGTCTGGACTGATGCCGATTTATAGTGCTAGCCCACTGTGATACCATGCCGCAGTTTAACATGAATACCCCACTCAGACACAGTATACTGACTCCGAGCCGACCAGTCCTTGTTTTAGCCCCTTAATGCCGAGAGCCAGACAGGGTAACAACAAATACCATCTTTTAACGTCTTTTGGTATGACACAGCCGGGGATCAAACCCTGGACCTTCCGCTCTTGGGGCGGACGCTCTACCACTAGACCGGAGGCGGTCCTATGGGCATTAAGTGCCTTTGTCAAAGAGTATCTGTTCCTGTAGTGAAATTGCTCCTTTGTACCATATTTCTCAAGGGGATTATTCCCATGGAACAGTTTGTACATTTACACCGGCTGGAGCTTATTTAATGTGGAAATGATCATTGTTGACACCTTCGCTATACTTTGTTAGTTTGTTGTTTTTTTATTGTTGTTTAACACCACACTCAGCAATATTCCAGCAATATGACAATGGTCTGTAAATAATCGAGTCTTGACCAGACAATCCAGTAATTGTCTTCATAAGCATCAAACTAAGCAATAGAGATCGATGAAATGCATCAACCAAGTCAGTGAGCCTGACCACCCGATCCCGTTAGCTGCCTCTTACGACAAGCATCAGTTGCTGAAGACCAATTCTAACATGCATCTGCATGGGGAAATCATTAACCTACTCCATATAGGTAAATTGGCTCAGACTAACAAGCCACTGCTAATTTCAATCCCATGCGTTTGTTCATCAAGAAAAATGTTTTTCCGCGCAGATTGCTTTTTACATTTCTGAAAATGAAACAGACCAAGAAACTATGTAATATTAAAAACACAAGATGAGACAACGCAGTACAGCCAGTTTGGAGCCAACCCTTCTTTGTTCTCACACACTATGTGTGACCTACAGCCCCAACACATCACCTGCGCAACATGAATAAATCAAAGTATCACAGAACATAGGGCTTCATTATCTTACAGAAATACATCATGAATTCCATGCCAGGATACATGAGGGGATCGGAAGGTCAAAGGTCACTGCATAGAGAAAACATCAAAATATGCCAGTCCGTGGAGATTCATGGCGGATTTTCAGACCCGCGGCAGATTCTCATTCCTATATGACATCATGTTTGCAATGATGTCTTATCCGTGAATGGACAATCATATCAATTGTAATATGACGTCATGCTTGTGACTCCTTGCCTGTGATGACGTCATGAGTGAGTGAGTGAGTTTGGTTTTACGCCGCTTTTAGCAATATTCCAGCAATATCACGGCGGGGGACACCAGAAATGGGCTTCACACATTGTACCCATGTCGGGAATCGAACCCGGGTCTTCGGCGGATGAGGTCATGAATGATTAACATCTATTACTGATAGACACAGCTATCGGTTGAAAACGATGGAGCCAGACACCATAGAAAATTATAGTTTTCTTAGAGCAGATTCATGCCGGCAGAGAAAGAAACCAATATCAAAAGAGGGGAAAGACCCTAATGCTGAATCATTTTAAAATCATTTTTCAACTTCAATTTCAGGATTTTATCAACTTGGGAAAATGAGAGGATGGTCTTAGAATTATTTCTACGCTGAAACTTCGGGTAACGTTTTTAAGGAAAGTACCGATGTGAAATCCCTGCACCGATGATGCTGTTCCACAGGGGAAACGCTAAAAAAAATCCAGATATATCACAACATTGATCATCAAAAGTCTGCCGCTATAGATGATTCTATACAATGTTTAGCACTATCGAAATTGCCAATTATTTCTATTATATGATAATCTGCAATAGATCTGAGCAAATGCCAATATCTGCCCCCTGTGTGGAATGTGCCATAGATCTGAGAATCGGCCACAGATCAGAGTCGTACCATAGATCTGAGTCCTACATATACACATAACAAAGTAACTATGATCTCCAAATACTCTTCTTTATGTACCAACTACTTTCACTCCTTTCAGGAGTTCGTCAACTCATAACTGCTACAATATGACGTCATCACAACAATATGACGTCATAGTCATTGCAATATGTCATCATAACCTGCAATGACACATGGGCGGCACTGTACACCATTTACATGGATCAATAATAAACTATTTTTATACATTCATTATATACAGCATCATTGCATTTCTTGTTTACCAGAGCTCAGTACTGGTTGAAATATGTTTATGAACAGTGTCTCTTCCTCTTGGTGAATTGATTTTTCATCTGAAAATTGTTGTAAAATGGAAAAATCTTCTAGTTTCCATTACCTCACTGATCAATGTGTCCCCTCATTTTAAAGCACCCTACATTCGGATAGATCTGTTGTTCATCCCCGTGTTATGGGTTTTCGGACACTCAAGAAACAGTTATAGTTTTCTCTCTAATCACACCAACTGTAAAACATCTCACTCACTTATAAAAGACAACTTTCTCTTAAGAACAAGCCATCATCTGAGTATTTACAATGTCTGAGTGATGCTACACCTCCCGTTATAAGGCAAGTAATCGTGATAAACATGGTCGTCTGAAAATGTAGGATGTCTGTAAACCTAAGATCAGACGATATGTACCGTAACACAGACTTTTAATTCCATTCCAATTTCGCCAACGTAATTGCCACCATAACCAGCAAATTCTAAAACATAAATCACAATTCTGCAGCATATCATGTCATATCACTTGTAACCTTCAAATATTTTACCATTTTGGAATGAAACATACCGCCTTCAATTATTAAGGGACAAATTCCGCAATGCGGAATACCACAACAAAATTATTAATGCTAATGTGTTCAAATTTCACAGAATTCAGAATTCTAGGAGAATATTTTAGGGACACAAACCACCTGGTGAAAATTAGTAAAATCTACCCCTTCCAAGTATATCCAGGTAGACAGATGGTAGACACGGTGTAAAGAAACTACCGTATTCGACGTAATAAGCGCCCAGGTCGCTCTCAAAATTAGAAATAGGGAGTTCTTATTAGGATATTATTTAGAGTTGAAAGATCGTAAATTTCGTGGTTTATGCTGACAGCCTGAAATGTTATATACGACAGATATATTTTTCCAGGATTTAATTGCCCATAATTAAGGGTGCATATGACATACGAGTGTGTATTATACACAAGTAAATAAGTCTTGTGTACATTAATCAATTGGAAGGGATGCTAACTGAGATTGTTCACTAGCCAATATATTAGCAAATATCGCCGTGGGCGCTTATTAGAGCAGGGCGCTTGTTACGTCGAATACGGTATATGTTACAACAAAGACACACAGTATCTTCACTTAAAGAGACAAAAGCATTTTCATGATGCCAGACATTTGTTTTGTGAGGACATGGGAAAACAACAGCAGGAGTAATCCTGAAACTCCCAGAACCCAGTGAAGTTCCAGATCATATATCTGGAAAAGGCTGCATCCCAGGTTTAGACTGGGAGCCTCCAGAGAGAGTAAGTATGTTAGGTTCAGTGCTGCTTTGAACAGTATTTCAGTTACATCATGGTGTATCAGTTTCATGTGGGAGGAAAGCCCGAGGTAATGCAGATCTTAGATGTTTACCACTCTGCGCAGCAAAGTGTAGCCTCAAAACTTTAAGGATCTATCCAGGTCCTTTCTAGGATCTATCTAGGATCTATCCAGGATCTACTCAGGATCAATCCAGGATCTATCCAGGATCAACCCAGGATCAACTCAGGATCACACCAGTTACACCCTGGATCAACCCAGGATCAACTCAGGATCAACCCAGGATCAACTCAGGATCTCCCCTGGACCACTGCATTCCGGGACACACAGTGACACTTACCATCAGGAAACAGGTAGTTGAGGAGAGGCAGTTTGGCGGAGTGCTTTCTCCACAGCCGGAGCACATAGTCTTCCCAGCGCACCATCTTTCCCAGGATCAGCATCACAGGGATTGTGGGTAATCCGATAAGGAGGAACAGAGGATCTGCTCTCTCCATCACATTCAGCCCCTCCTTGTGTCCCAGCACCTGCAACCAACAGTTTGTACACTTAGTTATAGGGCTGTACTGAGAAACTTCGGACACTTAGTTATAGGGCTGTACTGAGACACTTTGTACACTTAGTTATAGGGCTGTACTGAGACACTTTGTACACTTAGTTATAGGGCTGTACTGAGATATCCTGGTACACTTAGTTATAGGGCTGTACTGAGATATCCTGGTACACTTAGTTATAGGGCTGTACTGAGATATCCTGGTACACTTAGTTATAGGGCTGTATTGAGATATCCTGGTACACTTAGTTATAGGGCTGTACTGAGACACTTGGTACACTTAGTTTAAGGGCTGTACTGAGACACTTGGTACACTTAGTTATAGGGCTGTACTGAGACACTTTGTACACTTAGTTATAGGGCTGTACTGATATATCCTGGTACACTTAGTTATAGGGCTGTACTGAGATATCCTGACACACTTAGTTATAGGGCTGTACTGAGTTATCCTGGTACACTTAGTTATAGGGCTGTACTGAGATATCCTGGTACACTTAGTTATAGGGCTGTACTGAGATATCCTGACACACCTAGGTATAGGGCTGTACTGAGATATCCTGACACACTTAGTTATAGGGCTGTACTGAGATATCCTGGTACACTTAGTTATAGGGCTGTACTGAGATATCCTGACACACTTAGTTATAGGGCTGTACCGAGATATCCTGACACACTTAGTTATAGGGCTGTACTGAGACACTTGGTACACTTAGTTATAGGGCTGTACTGAGACACTTGGTACACTTAGTTATAGGGCTGTACTGAGATATCCTGACACACCTAGGTATAGGGCTGTATTGAGATATCCTGACACACCTAGGTATAGGGCTGTACTGAGATATCCTGACACACCTAGGTATAGGGCTGTACTGAGATATCCTGACACACCTAGGTATAGGGCTGTACTGAGATATCCTGACACACCAAGGTATAGGGCTGTACTGAGATATCCTGGTACACTTAGTTATAGGGCTGTACTGAGATATCCTGACACACCTAGGTATAGGGCTGTACTGAGATATCCTGACACACCTAGGTATAGGGCTGTACTGAGATATCCTGGTACACTTAGTTATAGGGCTGTACTGAGATATCCTGACACACCTAGGTATAGGGCTGTACTGAGATATCCTGGTACACTTAGTTATAGGGCTGTACTGAGATATCCTGACACACTTAGTTATAGGGCTGTACTGAGACACTTTGTACACTTAGTTATAGGGCTGTACTGAGATATCCTGACACACTTAGTTATAGGGCTGTACTGAGATATCCTGGTACACTTAGTTATAGGGCTGTACTGAGATATCCTGAAACACCTAGGTTTAGGGCTGTACTGAGATATCCTGACACACCTAGGTATAGGGCTGTACTGAGATATCCTGACACACCTAGGTATAGGGCTGTACTGAGATATCCTGACACACCTAGGTATAGGGCTGTACTGATATATCCTGACACACTTAGTTATAGGGCTGTACTGAGATATCCTGACACACCTAGGTATAGGGCTGTACTGAGATATCCTGACACACTTAGTTATAGGGCTGTACTGAGATATCCTGACACACCTAGGTATAGGGCTGTACTGAGATATCCTGGTACACTTAGTTATAGGGCTGTACTGAGATATCCTGACACACCTAGGTATAGGGCTGTACTGAGATATCCTGACACACTTAGTTATGGGGCTGTACTGAGATATCCTGACACACCTAGGTATAGGGCTGTACTGAGATATCCTGGTACACTTAGTTATAGGACTGTACCGAGACACTTTGTACACTTAGTTATAGGGCTGTACTGAGACACCTCAATCACTTATTTATAGGGCTAATTAAGACACTTCGTACACTTACTTATAGGGCTGTACTGACATATCTTTATGATCATGAGAAACTTTGTCATGATCAAACAGGTCTTTCTCACACAATTAGGTAGAGTTAGTGAGTGAGAATGGGTTTACGCTGCTATAAGCAATATTTCAGCAATATCACGACAGGGACACCAGAAATGGGACATACATGAGCACATGTGAACAAAGTGTGCATTATACAAAATATGGCACATGAAGTGTTTAGTTCAAAGCTTCAGTTTACTTAAGCTTCAATTCCTGTTCAAATCAAAGTAGTTTGCAAGTCTACTGATGCTGAAAATGAATCCCCAGGAGTTTTCTGCACCGTTTACCACTTGTTGCCATTAACAGATTACATAGAGACTTGACACCCAAACTTAAAGCCACACCTTATCCCATAATATTGATCACAAATGTTGTTTGACACTTAACTGGTGTTGTACATTGTATAGTATTTATCGTCTGTGGCCTAAATGATCCCTACCAGGTCCCTGTTCCACAATGCAATCTCAGCCCTAAGGTGATCATAATCCCATATTTTAACTTAGACTTACGATAATCGTAGCACCAAGACAAACACAACTCTCATACTTTACCTACGACTTATGACAACTGTATACTATGACTATGATAACGTCCATACTGGACCATAGACATACGACAGTCGTAAGGCTAAGAGGATCGTAAATCTAATACTTTAACACAGACTTGCAACAATTGTAGCACTAAGATGACTGTAACTCCCATACTTAAACATAGACTTACGACAGTCGTATCGCTAAGAGGATCGTAAATCCCATACTTTAACACAGACTTGCAACAATTGTAGCACTAAGACCAGTGTAACTCCCATACTTTAACATAGACTTATGACAGTCATATCGATAAGAGGATCGTAAATCCCCTACTTTATCACAGACTTGCAACAATTGTAGCACTAAGACCAGTGTAACTCCCATTCTTTAACATAGACTTACGACAGTCGTAGCACTAAGACCAGTGTAACTCCCATACTTTAACATAGACTTACGACAGTCGTATCGGTAAGAGGATCGTAAATCCCATACTTTAACACAGACTTGCAACAATTGTAGCACTAAGACCAGTGTAACTCCAATACTTTAACATAGACTTACGACAGTTGTATCGCTAAGAGGATCGTAAATCCCATACTTTAACACAGACTTGCAACAATTGTAGCACTAAGATGACACTAACTCCCATACTTAAACATAGACTTACGTATGACAGTCAAAGCACTAAGACGATCACAAATCCCATTCTTTAACATACACTACTGACAGTCACAGCCCTAAGAACGCATTGTGGAACGGGCCAAGGAGAGGCCCTTTAAACAACAAATGTAACAAGAGGTCACTGGCAAGCGTTCACGTCGCCACTACCACAATGTATTCATGTTCCCAGTAGAACTTTAACAAGGAGGCTGAAAGAACACATACATTCCTACAGCCAACACAAACTCTAGTAATCCAGATTGGCTCCTGTGAGTATTGCCAGTCATTGATCAGCGCCACCAGGAACATTGATATTCCAGGACCAGTAATGGTGCCGACCTGGCCAGGTGCATCCTTTGCTTGATTGAGCGGCAAATGTAATTTGTCAAAGTGTACAGGACTGGTGCTCTGCACCACAGCAAGCAATGGCGCGAAGAAACCATTAGAGTGATGTGATGGGAGAAAAGGCACCAAGCACCTCACCTGATTCATTTATTGAATGTATACACCATGTTCCTCATACACTCTGAATGTATACACCATGTTCCTCCATACACCCTGAATATATACACTATGTTACTCCATACACCCTGAATGTATACACTGTTCCTCCATACACCCTGAATATAGACACCATGTTCCTCCATACACCCTGAATGTATACACCATGTTCCTCCATACACCCTGAATATATACACCACGTTCCTCCATACACCCTGAATGTATACACCATGTTCCTCCACACACCCTGAATATATACACTATGTTACTCCATACACCCTGAGTATATACACCATGTTCCTCCATACACCCTGAATATAGACACCATGTTCCTCCATACACCCTGAATGTATACACTATGTTCTTCCATACACCCTGAATGTATACACTATGTTCCTCCATACACCCTGAATGTATACACCATGTTCCTCCATACACCCTGAATGTATACACCACGTTCCTCCATACACCCTGAGTATATACACCATGTTCCTCCATACACTGTGAATGTATACACTATGTTCCTCATACACCCTGAATGTATACACCATGTTCCTCCATACACCCTGAATGTATACACCATGTTCCTCATACACCCTGAATGTATACACCACGTTCCTCCATACACCCTGAATGTATACACCATGTTCCTCCACACACCCTGAATATATACACTATGTTACTCCATACACCCTGAGTATATACACCATGTTCCTCCATACACCCTGAATATAGACACCATGTTCCTCCATACACCCTGAATGTATACACTATGTTCTTCCATACACCCTGAATGTATACACTATGTTCCTCCATACACCCTGAATGTATACACCATGTTCCTCCATACACCCTGAATGTATACACTATGTTCCTCCATACACCCTGAGTATATACACCATGTTCCTCCATACACTGTGAATGTATACACTATGTTCCTCATACACCCTGAATGTATACACCATGTTCCTCCATACACCCTGAATGTATACACCATGTTCCTCATACACCCTGAATGTATACACCATGTTCCTCCATACACCCTGAATGTATACACCATGTTCCTCCACACACCCTGAATATATACACTATGTTACTCCATACACCCTGAGTATATACACCATGTTCCTCCATACACCCTGAATATATACACCATGTTCCTCCATACACCCTGAATGTATACACCATGTTCCTCCATACACCCTGAATGTATACACGTTCCTCCATACACTGTGAATGTATACACTATGTTCCTCATACACCCTGAATGTATACACCATGTTCCTCCATACACTGTGAATGTATACACTATGTTCCTCATACACCCTGAATGTATACACCATGTTCCTCCATACACTGTGAATGTATACACTATGTTCCTCC